TACACATTGCCCTAGCTTTCTTTCTATTTCCACAGTAATGGTCTTATACAGTACTTGTCCTTCTGATACTGAGTTAGTTCACTCAGCATAATGCTTTCCAATTGTCCCTCACCCCAAGTTATGTAGTAAGTTTGAAATCATTACTCCTGAGTGCCACGTAGTATTCCATTGTGTGAATGTGCCACAGTTTCTCAATCCATTCAACTGTGATTGGACATTTGGGCTGTTTCCATGTTCTGTTCTTGTGATGGTGAATAATACTGTTATGAACATTGGTGTACAAATCTCCATTTGTGTCTTTGTTCTTATTTAATATCAAAGGCACCTTCTATTTAGTTTTTTTTTTTCTGTTAAGTAAGATGTTGTGAAACCAAGTCAGAACATAAACTTCTATCAGCCTCAAAATATAAGAACCATTTTTTCCTGCTTGTGTCTGCTTCAGACTTCAAGCAAGGTCGCTTTTTGAGGGGCCCATGCTCTGGGGTGAGCCTTCTGATAAAGACCATTTGAAACAGTTCCTTGGCTGTGTGATTTGATTGCCATAACCCATATCCACTTGCACACTTGAAAGACTTGAAAAATGGAATATTCCAACTTAGCCTTCCAAATGCAACTCTTCTTGTGGACTTGAACCCATTTGTTAAGTAAAACTGCGGCTTGCTGTTGAATTTGTAAGACCAACCAACTGGCTTCCAGGAAATAGATAAGTCCTAGTCAAATTTCAACAAAAACTTTGCACAGTTGGTGGATGGTAGTGAGAAATTAATGTCATGGTTTTGTAAATGCAATCAACAGTGAAGCTCTTCCGTCTTGATCTGGGCTACTTTGCTAGCTCTAACAGCTATTAAAACCAGGTATCAAAATAAATGGAACTTATAACCAGACTCTGAGCTGCTTTTGTCCAGATGTTTAAAAAAAACAACCCACAAACTCTATAAGAGGTAACCATAAGGAAAACTAGGTGATGGATTTTTTCAGCATCTGCGGTACAGTGTGTGCTCATGGCTAACACCACAATTTAAGACATCGATTCTTCTGTCTTCCTTATTCATGGTCCAACTTTGACATGTGTAGGAAGCAATTGAAAATGCCAAAGTTGGGGAGCTCTGGTGGCCTAGTGGTAAGGAGCTGCAACTACAATCACAGAGGAGCATGGTTTGAATCCACCAGAAGCTCTGCCAGGGAAGGAGGGACAGTCTCCTCCTGTACCAGTCAGATCTGATTTGATGGTACACTCACACAAAAATAATAAAATAAAATAAAATGACAAAGTTAGGATCAGGCACACATTCGTCTTAAAACTGACATCTTTTCTCTTTAGAACTTAGATCCTTGACAGCAGATTTCCCCAATGTCACACATATTTTGATTTCTTGATTACTCCTACCAAGGATGTTGATTGTGGATCCAAGTAAGGTGAAAGCATTGATAGCTTCAGTCTTTTATCCATTGGTCATTTTGTTACATATTGATCTGATTGTGAGGATTTTTTCTTTTCTTCATGTTGAAATATAATCCATGTTGGAGACTATAGTCTTTGATCTTCTTCAGTAGGTTTTCCAAGTCTTTTTCACTTTCAGCAAGCAAGGCTTGTGTCATCTGCATTATGCAGGTTGTTAATGAGTCTCTTCTAGTCCCAACGCCACTTTCTTCTTCACAGAGTCTAGCTTCTCAAAGGATTTGCTCAGCACACAGATTGGATAGGTAAGGAGAAAAGACACAACCCTGACACACTGACCCTTCTGTCTTTAAAGAAATGCAACCAGAATGCTTCTCAGAAGCAAGGATGGTGAAATTTAGTCTTACTTATTTTGGCCATATTTCCAAGAGGAGTCAAACCTTAGAGATAGCATGCTCAAGGAGCAGAGGGTCGGTGAAAGAGAGGAAGACCCTCAGTGAGACGGATCGGCACAGTGACAACCACAGGGGCTCAAACAGGACAGAGATGACGAGGACGGTGCAGGACGGGGCGAGGCTCAGGTCTGTTGCTCACAGGGTCACTAGGAACCATAGTCGACTTGATGTTATCTAACAACAGGTGTTGGGTACATGAGACTTCTCTGAACTAGTTTTATAACTTCCTGAATACCTGAAATTACTTCAGAACAGAAAGTAAGAAAAATTGTAAAATTTTTCATTGTATGTTATATAG